GTCCGGGGCTTCGGTGTTACTTTAGATTTAGTTTCCCCCTAAACCCTAAACCCCGAACCCTAAACCCTAAACCCCTAAACCCTAAACCCCTAAACCCTAAACCCTAAACCCCCAAACCCTAAACCCCCTAACCCTAAACCCTAAAGCCTCAACCCTAAACCCTAAACCCAAACCCTAAACCCTAAACCCTAAACCCCAAACCCGAACCCCAACCCTAAACCCTAAACCCCAAACCCTAAACCCCAAACCCAACCCTAAAGCCTAAACCCTAAACCCTAAACCCCAAACCCTAACCCCAAACCCTAAACCCTAAAGCCTCAAGCCTCAACCTCCCAAACCTGAAGTGGTGAACCGGATCGAAGGTCTTTGCAGGGCCTCCTTGAAGGATTTATGGTCTAGGGCTTTGGGTTTGGGGTTTCGGGCTTTGAAGTTAAATTTAGGGTTTAGGGTTTAGGGTCTAAGGTTCAGGGTTTGGGGTTTAGGATTTAGGGCTTAGGACAACTAGTGAGATGTCTTGCTTCTTACTGCATTGAGCTTGACAAGACCCCAGCTAAACAGCTGAACCCGATGAGACGGGGGGAACTTATTTACCATAGGGGCCTTCGTGATTAGACTTGGTTTAGGGTTTAGGGTTGTGGGGGTATGTTGGTAATGTACTAAACTTCCAAAGACAACATTGAGCCTCTAGAGCTCGTTAATCATAGGCCCTAACCCTAAACCCTAAACCCTAAACCCTAAACCCTAAACCCTAAACCCTAAACCCTAAACCCTAAACCCAAATCCAAGTGTGAAGAGGGCCAATGGCAACCTATGGGCTTGAGGCCGAGGAGGGTCTGCAGTTTACAGCAATTGGGGTCCGGAACTTGGGGTCCTCATTATTTGCAGGGTTTAGGGTTTAGGGTTTAGGGTTTAGGGTGCAGGATGCTGGCTCAGGATGCGCATATAACTTTAATAAAAAGGACCTTAACAAGTTGAATAGGGTTTGGGCTATATGATACTACGCTTATTATCAGGAAACCCCCAAAACCCTGTTCTACTTATTAAGGCCCCTGCCCTAAACCCTAAACCCTAAACCCTAAACCCTAAACCCAGGCCCTAAACCCTTTAGGGTTTAGGGCTGAG